CATTTAAATATTTGGTATCTTTAAAATCACACAAAATGTGAGCTGTGATAGTTGAAATGAGTGAAATGAAAAACAAAAAATGAGAGAAAATTCTTAATGCCAAATTGTAGGACTTCTTGTCACCTGAAGTTCTGCTGTGGTGGAAGAGAGAGATGCTATAACATAAAGCCAACATATCTTCATGGTGAGAATATGGAATATGGGAATAAAGACAATATTGGAAAAGATCAAATTATTACGTTATGAGATTTATAAATCTATAACAATTAAGTGTTTTTTCAGATTAACCAAGCAATCTGAAACTATATCTGGAATTTAAGCTTAAGTAACAGTCCTGCCAGATGCATATGATTTCTCATAGATAGAAAAACAAGGCTCTCTCTTGCTCTCTGAGATAGACAGTTTTTCAGCTCAGCTCTTCTTATGTAAACAGTTCAAAAAAGTTTACTTTGCTTTGTCAGTAGCCTAGAACTCAGTGACTCGGAAAACACAACTCACGAAAACAGAGGCAGTTAAAATGCTGAGATCCAAACCAGAAGCAGATAAGTAAAGAAAAACAGGGAGCAGATCTCACATAAACGTGGCCTAAAGACCTTTCTGAACAGTTGATTTCTGATGTGGGGTGAAATAAGGGTCTTGCTCCCTCTTCCTAAGCAGAGCACTCCATAAAACTGAGGCTACAGCTCTGCTTTGTTCCTAGCATCTACCCACTGAAAGACAGGCAAAAGTATCACATAGGGCAGAACTTCAGATTCAAATGCAAAACACACATTACGGCAGACAATTCATATTGGATAACACTGTACACTGTACACTTTTCTATGGAATTAGTGAACAAACATCATTTTAGCCATTGTCTATCCACTGCAGGATGAAGGCCTCTTCTGCATGTTTCCAACCCAAATGGTCCCGAGCTTTCTTTTGCCAAGTGGACCCACAATTCTCGCTGATGTTGTTGATCCATCTTGTTTTAGGTCTCTTTTTTATCAAGTGGGATCCACTACCTTGGTCCACCTGCCATCAGTTCTTCTTGCTATGTGACCAGCCCATTTCCATTTCAGTTCTTTTATTGAATGAGTCCTAATTTTTTTTTAATGGAAAAAACAGTTCTGGGGGTTTGGCAAAATGAATCAAGATGTTTAATTCATTCTCCCTGGCTGAAAACTTTACTAGGATGGAAGAATGTTTGGAATTGCGCTTGATCTCTTTTTCCTTCCTACCAACAACAGGTACCTTCCCTTCCTACTAACAGGTACCACACAAAAAACCCCATTTTTTTTAGCACTTGTAGAAAAGATTAGTTCTTCTTTACATGCATAGACACCTGATTCAGATCTCCCTTTAAAGATTCTGATCATTTTTAAAAATCAGGAAAGCTGTTCAATAGTTTTGAAAGTAGATTGGACAGCACATTCATACTTCTAAAGGCAGCATGGCAGTTTGAGACAACGAAGGGAGAATGTCCTAGAGAGATAGAAACAATATTATCTTAACTGGAGCAGCCTAAAAATTGGAATTGTATGATTCCTTTCTTCAAAACCAGTACCTAAAATACTTGTAAGTTGTGGGCACTTTCTTTTTTCGCTGTCTTGTGGGATTCAGTTGGAACATGAATCTCCATGCTGTGTCCCATTGGAGGCCTGGGCCACATCTTTTTAGCCTTTTAATCCAGTATTAAGAAGATTGCAGTACATTATTTTCCTGATCTTGTTGATGACCTAACAATCTTCAGTGCTACAACTCTGGGATGAACAAGGTTTCAGAGTAGTGCAGTCTTCTAACTTTCTGAAGTGCTTTAGGAGGCCACCGTGATGTTGTGATTTCATGAAAAGGGGTGTAACAGACTTGTTTGGAGTTTTTCTTTATGTTTTGGTTCTAATAAGAATCGGGATATCTCATAGAAACCAACTGCTTTGATTTCCACTCTTAAAACTATCCCCTGACTTGAAAATAGAACCGGAAGATATTATCTGGACCCTTAGCAGTGTGGGATTCAGACCTGGGTGTGGTGCAGATTTGAAAGAGCATAACCATCATTGTTCTAGTGGAACAGCTTTGGGTTGTATATACGAGGGTTGTAAGTGGAGATATTTAGGCCAAGACATCATTTATACTGGTTTGTTCTTAACTGGGTGGATGAGTCCAGCTGGTGGTGGCAGGAGGGAATAAATTGTTTTCAGATGCCCAAGGTCTCATCCCTTTCTCCAATTCAGGTTAATGTTTACTTGAAGCTGGTGGGAAAGGCCATCGGCTGATTCATAGTGTATTATTATCAGTTTGCTAGTGAAACCCAATTATGTTTTTCCACTTGGGCCAAATGCTATAGCTGTCCTGACCCAATGCCTGGACTCCCCCCCCCCCAAGCTCAATTTCAATCCAACCAAGACAAAATGATTGTTAATTCAGAAACCTGGTAGGTCCAAGAGATCATCAACTTTGACTCCTGAGATAGTTGTACTCCCTCAGAGCCAGCAGACCTACTCCTTGTGGGTCCTTCTAAACTTACACATCCTGCTGAAAGAGCTAGAAGCTGTGGTCAGAAAGGCTTTTGCCCAACTTTTCCTGGTATGTCAGTTACACTCTTTCCTGGTTATGGATGTACTTTTCTTCAGACACTTCAGTTGGCTGAAAACACAGCAGCCTATCCCTTTACCGAGCAGTCACAGTACTGCCATATTGTTGTTGTTGTTAATTGCGAAGTCGTGTCCGATCCATCGCGACCCCATGGACAACGTTCCTCCAGGTCTTCCTGTCCTCTACCATCTTCTGGAGCCCATTTAAGTTCACACCTACTGCTTCAGTGACTCCATCCAGCCATCTCATTCTCTGTCGTCCCCTTCTTCTATTGCCCTCAATCTTTCCCAGCATTAGGCCCTTCTCTAGTGAGTTCTTCCTTCTCATTAGGTGGCCAAAGTATTTGAGTTTCAACTTTAGGATCTGGCCTTCTAAAGAGCAGTTGGGGTTGATCTCTTCTAGGACTGACCGGTTTGAACGCCTTGCAGTCCAAGGGACTCGCAGGAGTCTTCTCCAGCACCATAGTTCAAAGGCCTCAATTCTTTTGCTACAGGAACTACACTGGTTACCAGGTTTGTTTCTGAGTGCAAGCCCAATCTGGCTCCAGGCGCAGGTATCTAAGAAGTGCCTAAATAAGATAACCAGGAACTGCCAGTTGAAAATTCCCTCTTATTTTGGGTTCCAGTCCTTTGGAAATGCTTTCCCTCTAAGATGAGGATAATTGGCCCTCAAAGGCTGGTGAAACTAGACTTCCACCAAAGGTCTTTAGAGATGACGTGTAAAATAATTGATGCCAGAATTATTAGTTTTACTGTTACTGTTATTGTTGTTATGATGATGATTTTGTCCTAGTATTTCATACGCCAATAAAAAATGTTTCACAGGACAGTCATTGTTGGTATTGCTGTACAAATAAACACAAATTGCTACATACAGTCTTTGGACTTCTGTTCTTTTCTCATGGTTGATGAAAGACTCCCTTCACCCCAATAAAAAGGATTCAATTTAATCAAACAAAATACATTAGCCAATACAGGAAAAAAAAACAATGCAAAGAAAATCAGTCTGACTCAGGTCCAAGCTAAGTAGCCCAAGGCAACCAACCACTTAACATGCCAGATACAAAGTGTCAGCTTAAACATTTAAGTTTAAGATAAGCTTAACCGCCAGAATGCGAGACTGGCTATTGACAATTAAGACTGACAGGATTAGAACAGGGACACAGAAAGAACACAATAATAATAAAACACATAGAAACACACCAGATCCTTTCCCGAGGCAAGGATTAACCTTTTTCCTGAGCAATATCTAATAAATTAGCCCATCAATAGACACTGCTCCACGAAATGACAGTTTTGGAACCACGAATCAGAAATGACAGTTTTGAAAACCAAGAAAAGGTATAAAAACTCACGTTTGGAGACCCCTCTTCCTAGCTAGCCGGGATTCATGCTGAACTGTCACTCAACTGATTAAACCTCTCTTTCCAGTAGCTGGCTTCTCCTTCTATTTAGTCTTCGAGCTCTGACTGCGGAAATCCTGGCTGGAAAAGCCCAAAACGGGAGAGTTCCTCCTAACATGGTGATGGATAAAATAAAGTTGTCATAAACTCATAAGCAGTTGTGGTCACGTAATATTCTACTTAGCAGCTGAATCAGTTAGCGATCGAGTTGCCAGTTCCAACTGTTGTTAGTAAATGAGGAGTACCTGTAAACTCCATAAACCCCAGTTTGAAGTTTTCAAACTAATTACAAACTGTGAACTCTCAATCAGATATCACTGAGTGTGCATAGGGGAAACAAAGAAGTAGAAAAAAAATGTGGCTGGAGTTAAGGTCATATATCTCACAGACTATACTAGTAGATGGAAACAATAAACCTGCAAATAATGGAACTTCTTTGTGAGGTTCTTTAGTAGCTGGGAAACAAAAAATCAACCAGGTTGTCATTATACAGGTAGTCCTCGACTTACAACAGTTCATTTAGTGACAATTCAAAGTTATAATGGCACTGAAAAAAGTGACAACCATTTTTCACAGTGACGACATTTGCAGCATCCCCATGGTCACGTGATCAAAATTCAGATGCTTGGCAACTGGTTCATATTTATGACCATTGCTGTGTCCCATTGCGACCTTCTGACAAGCAAAGCCAATAGGGAAGCCAGATTCATGTAACAACCGGGTTGCTAATTTATGAGCTGCAGTGATTCACTTAACAACTGAGGCAAGAAAGGTCATAGAATGAGGCAAAACTCACTTAACAAATGTCTCACTTAACAACAGAAATTTTGGGCTGAATTGTGGTCGTAAGTTGAGTACTACTTGTATAAACACTAGTGGATATAATATAGGTTATTATGCTTCTGCCACCACATTAATGTCAGGATGCAAATATGGGTATAAGAATATTATATTTACTTCAAAATGTACAATTCTATCTTAACTATTCACTTTAAAAATGAATGCTTTTCCTTTTTCAATGTAGGTTGATCAAGAATCCAAGGAAGGATCTTTATGGTTTCTCAAGACATTCACCAGCATCAACATCTTTGACATTTGCTTATTCTTCTACTGACCCAGAATCACACTAGCCATGGGAAAATCTAAGAAGAAAGAAGAGGCTGTCTTTCTGAGGAAAAAGATCACACTCCTGAGGGCCTTTTCACTTCTCATTGGGAGCATGGTGGGCAGTGGCATATTCATCTCTCCCAAGGGGGTCCTGAAAAACTCCGGCAATGTGGGCCTCTCCTTGATTGTTTGGTTTGCCTGTGGAATTCTCTCCATGTTTGGTGCGTGGTGAGTTTCTTTTGTCTTCAGCTTTCAAGAGATCAGAAGTTCTGTTGGTCCAATGTTACTGACTCTTATTGAATTGGTAGTTGCTATTGTCATATCTAGCTACCTATGTTGGTGGTTCTATGTGCTAGCAGAGAGCCTGTCAAATGTTAATTTCCCCCAAAAGAGAGGGCAGCAAATTATTATTATTATTATTATTATTGCTTTTTTGTAAGAAAAAAGGTACCGGAACTCAGCCCCCCCCTTCCCCCCCGCCAGGCCATTCTTTAATAGGCAACCTTTCGCTCCCCTCCCGAGCCAGACTGCCATGCTAAGGTGGATGGGATCAGCGGGAATGAAACTATTACAACGACTCAGGAACTGACCAAACAAGAATAATACTGTGTGTCTAAGTATATTTATACAACAGCGTCCCTTCTCAAACAACACTACAACTCCTGGCAGACTTTGCTGGTTATTTACACCCCCTGAGCTGAGAGGAAGATGGGCGGGGTTACCGCTGTTGCCATAGCTATATGAGTGATGTATAGGATTGGGGGCAGTTCTATGATGGGCTGTGAGTCGGGGGGCACTTGCGGCTGATGCGCTGCCAAGGGTTGGTCTAAGAGAGCGGTCAGTGTTGGGCCTTTGGCCTGTGCGGACAACTAACCCAATTGACGGTTCAAGGGCGGGAGGGACCGTAGGGATCACCTTTTGCCACCACATCTACCTCAGCACCTCGGGAGCAACACAGCATTTTCTAGAGACCCTCCTTCCCCTCCCCATTTTCCATACTTCCTCTGGGCTGGGGTTCTCGGTCGATCATTCTCCTCGCGCGAGGTCCATCCATGTCCGGGCTGTTGGGGAAGTTGTTCAGGATCAGCCCAGGGGAGAAAGGTGGCAGGAAGGGGCCTCCCCCCAGAGGCCATCCAGAGGCTTAAAGAGACCAAGGACAGGCTGAGTAAAAAACAGGAGTTGCTAACCTGCTTTCCAGCTCTGTTGTGTTTCTCTTCTGCTGCAGGGAAACGGAGTTTGTGGGACTAAAAAAAGTTCAGTCAGACCTTCCAACTCCTTGTGAGATCTTTTTTTTTTTCTCACAAGAAGTTGGAAGGTGTTGAGTCCTTGGCGGGAAGCAGACACGAGAAGCAGTTGAAGTTCTCAGTTTTCTTTATTCTGCGTTCAGCTTACAAGTAGATGGCTTCAGCAGCTCCCAAAACCTCCCAGCTTCTTATATAGACGTTTCCCGGGTAAATGCGATACTTTTCCCAAGCCAGCACCCGCGCATGCGCACGGCGCTGGCGACAGCCTGTCTGGTCCCGGGCAGCTTTGCACCTGCCCGGGACCGCCTGCAAACGCCCGAGCCGTTTGCAAGGCTCGGGACATAACACCACTTTCCCCCGGGCTAAAACTACTACCAACATATAATCATTTATTTTATGCAGTGTTCTGCTTCTCAGTGCTCCTATCGTTACCTGGCTTTTGTTTAGCCAGCAATGTTATGTAATCCTCTAAGTATTTAGGAGACTTCTTTGCTCTCTGTGACCTTCTCAGCTCTGGGTTACTAGCATGAGTTCCCTGACTGGAGGGAGATGTGAGCCTGTTCTCCTTATTTTGCCTTGGTGCCTTCCAAGGACTGTGCCCCGATGCCTGGCCTGCTTGCTCGCCCACCGGGCTCGTCAGGCCAGGGCTTCTGTCACTTTGTGACCTGGTTGACCTGCCTAGCTGTAGACCCTCGGGCCCCTTGAAGTGATAGCCACTGCTGGGTGTCTCTGTTGAACCTCCTAGGTCCGTCCACGACCTGTCAGGAGGCTGTCCATTCCCTGAGCCCCGTTCTGTGTCCGGGCTTGTGTGGGTTTCTGTACTTTCCCAAAACTCAGTTACTCCCTGATTTGGGCTAGAGGTGTTGTAGTCGGGACTTGGTTCCTCGACCACCTCCCTGTATGTTTGACCCCCTGTAGGATTTGGGGTAAGGTCAGGCCAACCTTGGGGATTGTGTGCCAGCTCTCTTGCGGGGAATGATTTGTTGGGATGCCCCCGGGTATCCTCCGTGACTGGAGTGCTGTGTGATGTGTGTGGAAAGTGAGTATGCCCCCGGGGTGACTCCCTGGCTGGAGTAGGCGTGGATGCCTGGTAATTAGGTAGGCTCATAGAATTCTTGTTCGGAGCTCTCGCGGAACCCTGGGATGGGCCGTTTGTGGCTCCATCAGTGGAGATGGGCAGCAGCTCGTGCCCTTCCCTTTGCTCCAAAGGGTCCCCCTCCCCCCCCTGGAAAAGACCCAGGAGTCTCATCTGAAAAGTCCCGCCGAGGGCGGAGTTGGTCGATGTGCCGACGCAGGACACGACCGTTGTCCAGGGCTACCTCGTAGGAGAGAGGACCTGTGACCCTGGAAATAGAAGCGGGGACCCATGTATGACCAGGCCCGTAATTGCGAGCCCAAACCGGGGCACCCACAAGTAGTTGTCTAGGTGCCCTAGGATGTGAGGTAGATGAAGGCAGTCTGTCTGGATGCAACCGGTCAAGTTTAGTAGTAAGTTGACGCCCCCAACGAAGTTCAGCTGGGCTTCTCCCTGTAGAAGTGGACGGTGTGGTGCGATAAGAAAGGAGAAAGTCAGCCAACCTGTGATGCCAGTCCCCGTAGGTGAGTCTTTTCAATGCGTCCTTTGTGATGCGCACCATACGTTCAGCCATACCGTTGGTGGACGGGTGGAAGGGTGCAGACGTGGCATGACGAATCATGTTTGCCTGTAAGAAAGCTTGGAATTCGGAGGAAGTGAATTGAGGGCCGTTGTCGGACACAATGACATCTGGCAGCCCGTGTGCAGCAAAAATCCCCCTCAGTACCTGAATAGTCTTTGCAGTGGTGGTGGATGAGACAGGTACAACCTCAAGCCATTTCGAATGGCTGTCAACAAGGACCAAGAAGAACTGGCCCTGAAAGGGTCCAGCGTAGTCAATGTGCACTCTAGACCATGGGGACTGTGTTTCCTCCCATCTATGCACGGGAGCTTGGGGCATCTCTGGGTGAGATCGTTGGCACAGGCGGCATGCATGCATCTTAGCCTCAATATCTTTATCTAAACCAGGCCAACACAAGTGGCTGCGCGCAAGAGCCTTCATACGAACAATGCCAGGATGACCCTCGTGGAGGGATTCTAAGACCCTAGTCCTCATTGAGGTGGGAATGACAACTCTGTTTCCCCAAAGCAGACAACCCTGAGAAAGGGACAGCTCGTTCCTTTTGGACCAGAAACTCTGAAACTCAGGACTAGGGCAGTGCTCAGGCCAACCAGACAAAACCCAGGAACGGACACGTGAAAGTGTGTGATCTGTACCTGTTTCAGCGGCAACATCCCTGGCACTAAGAGGGAGCTTGGGCAAGGCTTGGATTGATAGAATGTTGACAGCTGGCGCAGGGTCAGCTTCTACTACTGGCAGAGGCAATCTACTGAGGCCATCAGCATGGCCCATTTCTTTCCCAGGCTTGTGGAGTAAAGAAAAATCATATGCAGACAAAAAAATAGACCACCTAAGCATTCTAGGGGAAATGATTTGGGGAGTCTGCTTACGTGTGGTAAACAGTCCCAGCAGAGGCTTATGGTCAGTGAAGACCGTGAAGTGCCTGCCATATAGAAAGTCATGGAATTTTTTAATTCCAGCAACAGCCAGAGCCTCCCTGTCTATCTGAGCATAGTTGCGCTCAGCAGAAGACAATGTTCTGGAGTAATATGCAACAGGAACCTGAGTTCCGTCAGACCTGAGGTGGCTCAGGACAGCTCCAACCCCGTAAGGGGACGCATCACAAGCGATGCACACAGGAAGGGACTCGTTGAAATGTGCAAGTACACTGTTAGAAGTGAGCAAAGCCTTGACTTTGTTAAAACAACCCTCATGCGTTTGTGACCACTGCCACACTGCTTGCTTGTCTAGTAGCCTGTGAAGAGGCTCAGCTACACTAGCTTTTTGTGGAAGAAAAGAATTGTAGAAATTCAGGAGGCCCAGGAAGGCCTGAAGTTCGGCCTTGGACTTTGGCCTAGGTGCTTCTAAAATAGCAGTTAGTTTGGATTCAGAAGGGTGAATCCCAGCAGCATCAATTTTGAACCCCAGAAATTCAGTAGAAGGCACCCCAATCTTGCATTTGTCTTTTTTGAGCTTGAGACCTGATTTCCTGAATCTTAACAGAACAGCCCTTAGCCTTTCAGCTAGAATGTGTGTGGAGTCTCCTGCAATTAAGACATCATCAAAGTAGGGGCAAACCCCCGGTATGCCCCGTAGTGTGTTTTCCATTACGCTTTGGAAAATCCCAGGAGCGACATTCACTCCAAACTGCAGCCTTTTTACCTTAAAGGCTCCCCTGTGGGTCACAATAGTCTGAGCTATAGCAGCATCATCATCAACAGGCAGCTGTTGATACGCTTGAGCTAGGTCAAGCTTTGCAAAAACGCGCCCCCCCTTGAGGGAGGCCAGAATATGACTGACCACAGGAACAGGATAGGCATGTTGCTGCAATGCCTTATTCAGAGTGCATTTGTAGTCAGCACAAATGCGAATGTCCCCATTTGCCTTTAGAGGCGTGACAATGGGGGTCTCCCAAGGACTGGAATCAACAGGTTCTAGGATTCCCTGTTGAATCAGTTTGTCTAACTCAGTGTCAATTTTACTCTTTAAAGCAAAAGGGACCCTTCTTGCTTTAATTCTAATGGGAGTGACAGTGGGGTCTAGCTTTAAGGACACAGGGGGTCCTTTGAATGTGCCCAGCTGGGGGCTGAAAACATCTGCAAATTCTTTGCAGACTTCCTGTAGGTCGAGTGTTTGTAAGCTGTTGAGTCCTGTGACGTGTATCCCCAGGGCCTCAAACCAATCGAGTCCTATGAGACTCGTTCGTTCACCCCCTACTACTAATAAGTCTAGTGGACCTTCAAAACTCTTGTATTGCACGTTAAGGGTGGCCTCCCCCTTAACACACACTCTTGAATTTTGAAAATCTGTTAACACAATGTCAGAAGGCCTTAACTTGGC